CCCTCTCCGTCTCAGCTGCCTGATGAATGAAGGATGGGTTTTTAAGCCTTTTTTCCCCCCAAGGCCTGCAGCTCTGGCTCGGCTGCTATCGCTGGGATAAATGCAGCTTTTGGGCCCGGAGCAGCATCCGTCGGAGCCGCGGCCCCCCGCGCCGGGTTATCAATCCCTGCTCAGCACCACCGGCACCGGGCTGGGTCCTCTCCACTGGGAGCCCTTTTCCTACCCTCTGGCCACAAGAAAGACCAGTGTGGCTTAATTCTACACAGTATCAACACCAAACAGACTCAGCCCAACACTACTCGCTTCTCCTAATTCGGCTTTGTGTTCCTCGCTTTTCATGAATTTTTAAAAAGTTTCCATTTCTCCCGGGGTTCCGGCGAGTTTCCCGGGGTGCGCCTGCCCTGGTGCTGGCTCTGGGTCCCCCTCCTCGCCCTCCTGGAGAAAACAAAGGAGACAGAGAGTCAGCTTGGAACTCCCCACTCTGGGAAGGTTTTTGGATGGCTCGAGAAATGAAATCTGCCCCAGCTCGGGAGGTGGAAGGGCCGGCGTGGTGATGGGATCCAGCGCTGGGTCCTGGCACAGCCGGTGCCGCGGTGCCGCTGCTCCTGCCAGCAGCACTCAAACTGGAAATACAGATGGTGCCACTCTCAGGGCAGGGCTGGAGCCGTGGGGGAAGCAGACTTTGGGAAGGCAAAACAAAACGAGATGAGCCCTCAGTGGACTTAAAAAAAAAACCCAGATGCATTTCTTTGTTGTTTTGCTCTAGTGTGAAATGCAGCCTCCGTCCATGACTGGGAGCTGGAAGCTGCCTTGTCCCTCTGGCCCTGTCCAGAGCAGAGAAAATGAGGCAGGATAGAGGAAAATGGAGATTCCAAGATGGTAAATACAGATAGAGCCTGTGAATGAAGCCAAGCCAGGCACTTCAGTTTGAAACTAAACACAGATAAGCTGAGAGCCTCCCTCCACCACCTCGACCCCAGCCTTCCTCCACTTCCAGTGGTCATGGGGATTATTATCCCCTCGGAGGAATAAAGTGCAGCATTGAGGATTCTGGGATTCAACCCAATGGTTCCAGGGCTCTAGATATTCCAGTGCAGATGCTGAAAACTGGGAAGGCATTCCCTCCAGCCAGGCAGCCACTACATCACCCGGGAACAGGAGGAAATAATGATGTACGGCTGGCCTTGGGGCACTCTTTGCAGCTCGATTGGCCTCCCTGGCAGAAGAATAACTGAGAGTTTATTGCTTCTCTTCCAGTGATCTTTACTCCCAGCTGTTTTCTCTGGGAGGCCTGGATCCCTGTACCTCACCTGAAGAGCCATGGGCTGCCGGTGAGGTGCTGAGTTGGATCCCAGGCACTGAGGTGCTGGTTCCTGCAATGGGGCTCTGCTGTCACAGGGAAAATTCCCCCTGAGCTCTGGCCAAGGGAGGTGATGGGGCCTGGGCACATCTGGGACCCCTTTCCCCTTCCTCCTGCGGGTGCAGTGAGCTCCTGGAGCAGCACCAACACCCTCGGCCTCAGCATCCAACTGTGCCCAAAGGAGAGCATCCGTCTGCTGGCTCCTTCACACCACATCCCCTTCCCCAGCACCAAACACCCCCTGCACCCGTCCCTGGGCACTGTATCCAGGCAAAGCCCCTGCAAGGGGCCCAAGAGCCCTTTTCTGACATCAGTCCCAGCTGGCTGGGCAGGAGAAGGGGAAAAAGAGTATTTCCACACCGAAAACTGGCAATTCCCAGCTCCTGCTGCCGTTTGTGGAGGGCAAAGGTGAGGTGGTGGCAGGTGACTTTCCCCCATTTCCTTGGTGGGGCCGTGCTGCAAACAGCCCGATAGCCTCGATTTCTGTCATTAAAATGTAAATGAAAACAGACACAAAAAACAATCTGAATTTCCAGCCGAGTTGCTCTTGCTTAATATTCTGCCCCGAAGGGGGATGTGCGGAAGCAACAACATTTCAAAGGGAATCGTTAAAGAAGGGAGGCTCAAACCGCGTTTCCATCAGATACCGCGGCAGAGCCCGGCACTCGGGGTCCTGCCCATCCCGACGCCGCTGGAAAGGGAGAGCAGGAAGCAGGTCTTGAAGAATGAACCTTCCAAGCCGGGATGAGGGGGATGCTCATGCTGAGTGGGGCTGTGCTGCCCATATCCCAGCGTGGTCCAGCTCCGGGTGTGGATGGGCAGCACGTGCCTGGCTGCAGGGATCGAGCTGGGAGGATGCCCAGATTTTAATGCATCCAGAGGTTTTAGAAGTGCCCTGGGAGGGCAGCAGGTTTTGCAATGTGTCCCAACCCCCCAGCAGTGCATGTGAGGGGAAGATCCCGGCATTCCCAATCCTGCCTCCTCCCTGTCCACTCTGAGCTCTCGGGACTGGCACTGCCCCACTCTGTTTCAAACAGGAGATGACTGTATTTATTCTGTGTTTATTCTGCCAGTGTGAGGCAGTTAAAATGAAATACAAAATGCCAGGGAGTGAGAATAGCCTGAAAAATCCTGTGAATGGTGGTTCTGTCCCAGTGGATGCCGCTGGTAAAGGAGGGATGCACCAAGGCTCAGGGTCACACATGAACTCCCAGGATCTGCCCCCAACCCTCCAATTCCCACAGGTCCTCGGTGCCACCTACCCAGGGCTGCAGGGAAAGGGAGCCTGGCTGGGCAAGGAGCACCTCTCTGCAGAGTGACAGAGGCCTCTGCTCCCCACCACCCCCCCAGATCTCCCAGGCAGCAGCAGGTGCTTGCAGCACGGTGGCTCATATGGATGCTATAAGGGCTGAGCTCATCTCTCAGGCACTGGGGAGCAGCAGGCAGAGATGGTGGTGGTGGGAACCTGGAGGTGCCCAGGAGTGTGGTACCCCTCACCACCCTGGGCACTGCCTGGATGTGATATTTGGGATGAGCAGAGCAGCCCTGGCTGGGCTCACCCTCCCAGCCAAGAGCAAGGAAAGCCCTTTTCCTGCTGTAAACCAAACATGTGGGATCTGGAAGTCTCCAAGACACAATAAACAAGGGATTCCGGAATGCTTTAAGTGTGTCCCAGTCTGGATCTCTGGATGTTCATGTCCTGAGATGATTAATTTTCTTTTGTACTTTCGTGGCATCAGTTATCACATCATTCAGTTTTATTTTTAAAGACTTGTTTTTTAAGCCCACAAAATACTGGAAAGGGTTAGAGTGGATTCCAATTACAAGGTAAAATATTTCCCTCCAAAGCTTCATAAATACTTGATTTTGGTTTAATGCCATTATTTTAACTTCCAAAGCAAGGCAACATTTGCCAAAGCTCGCTTTCTGCAGTAAAACCAGCCCAGTGTCACAGGGATTTGATACAATAACAATAAACTTCCAGAGGAGACCTTGAAACCAGAGGGGCTGTTGGCCGGGCAGAGGAATTCAAGCTCAGATGCCACGGGGTCTGTAGGTCAGATCCCCCCCTGCCAGGGGGACCCCAGCACGGCTCCCCACTTCTGCCTGGCACAGTGGCTGCATCCAGATCCAGTTGGTGCTGTTCCCACCGACCTGGGGGGTTTGGAGCTGGAGCATCTCCCCTGAGAACCAAGTTATCCACCTGTGAGCTGAGAGTACATCCTTTCACTTACCGAGGCTTGGCAACCCCTGGGGATGGGGACATCCCTGGCATGGGGTCCTGGGGCCCATCCCTGTGTCCAGCCCTGTGCTGGTTCCTGCCCATGGCACCCATCCCATCTGGATTGCACCCGGAGGGGGCTGAGCACAGGGTGCAGGGTCACAGTGTCCTGGGAGGGGGGTGCCAGGGGCAGAGGGGGGCCCTGCCCCCTCCAAGCTGGCCCAGGCTCAGCCCTGCAGTGTTTTAGGTCTTTATTACTTTTCCCCCCCTCAGTTGGTTGGTTTTTAATTGATTCCCAAATCTCATTTGGGCACGGGAGCTGGGGGTGGAAAAGCTCTGTCTGAAGTTGATTTTGCAAATCAGCTCTGGCCATCTCCAGCCGGGTCCCGGGGCAGAAGCACCGGGCTCCCAATAACCAGGGAGGAAGCCTCTTGCTGCCAGAGCAGATCCACCTCTTTGATGTGCTCCCTCAGTTATTCTTTCATTTCTTGAGCAAATAATCTGGATTTTCACAATATTTACCTTGGAAATAATTATTTGTGTAAAGCATTCAACCAAGACAAACAGAGAATCGCTCAGCGTCGCTGTGGGGCTGGGAGGGCTCGTGTTCCCCCAAACCCTCCGGAGCTTGGGCTCCATGGGAAGTGGATGAGGGGAGAAATGGGCTTGGAGCTTGCACCCCACATCCTATGGAACCCCCGAGGGCTGGGACAAACCTCCTGGCAGCTCCGGCCGCAGGGCATGGATAACAATGGAAAAATGCAGCCACTCTGCCCTTCATGCCTTCCTGTGTCCCTGCATGGACTATTGCATCCCTGAATTCCCACAGACTCAGAGGCTGGAGAGGAGAAGCAGGAAGAGGGGGGGTAAAAAGGTGAGGGAAGGTTCAAAGGGCTGCAACAGCCTCGGTTTTTCATCTCTAGTTAATCTCTGCGAGGCCTGAGGCAAAGTCACCCTTGGGTCAACACTCAGGTGTTGTTATCTGCAATCTCCATCACCCAGAGCTGCCCCCAGCCCTCCCCATCAGCGGGGCTGCAGGGCAGGGTGCTGGGAATCCAGATCCTCTGGTTCCAGCCACTCTCTCCCGGGGTGGAGGGTAAATCCTGCACCTACACTGCACCCCAGCACCAGCCCCGTGCTGCCCCACGGCCACAGCAGTTTATGTGACTTCAATTTTCCAAAGCAAAAAGGCTTCTAAATTGAGCCTGGATGAACTGCTGGTGCTGGCACAGCGTGTTGCCAGCTGGGGCGTGCCCAGGGGTGCAGGGATGGGATGAAGGTGCCAAGACCTGTGCCCTGAACCCGCCGCTCCCCCTCGCTCCCACCCGCGCCCACTCCAGCCCTGCAGTGAGCACGGGGTGGCTGCTCCCAGTCTGGCAGGCTTGGGAAGGGAAACAAAGGCACAAATCCAGCCGGGACTTGGCTCCTTCAGCTGCAAGGCTTTTATTAAGGTGTGCAACATGCCCACGATCACGGGTGTGGGGTATGACAGAGGCAGCAGGCGCTGGACGTGAGTGAGCAGGAGGGCGGCGAGGGCAGCACGAGCCTTGTGGGTGCTGCTGGAATCCTGCAGTGCTGGCACGGGTTGATTTGAGCCGAGTGTCCCCTTTGCCACCAAAATGTCATTTTTGGAGGTGGAGTTTTGTGGATCTTCTCACTTTACCCGCTGGCAGCAGTTTGGCCAGCGGGACACAGCAGCTCTGGAACCCTCATCACCCTCCTTTTGCAATGAGAAATGGAATCAGTGCTGTGGGGCAGGAAGGGGAGCACGATCCCCTCCAGCCCAACCCTCGCTGTCCTGCTGCCACTCCTCCACATCAGCACTTAAAAGGAATGTGTGTCCTATGGAAACACAACAAAGCACAGCAAACACACACAGCAGCTCCTTTTCCACCTCTAGTTAAGACAACTGCTCTTTGGGTCCTGCAGTCCTTGCTGAATAAAATGCAAATTAGAAAAAAATACTCTCTTTGCTCTCAAATGATAAATTAATATGAACACCAACAGCACAAGTTCACGAGCAGCTTTGGGATCATGCAGTGTTAGAGCATCGCCCGCGACAGACAGACCTGCACACACACACACACACAGACCTAAATTAACTCTTCTCTAATACTGACACTAAAAACATACATTGGCATTGGATTATTTGACACTTAAATTTACTTTTCAACACTCTGAGGTCGCTTTTCAGAATGACTTTTTTCTCTCACACAGCCCAGGACACCTCACTCTCCCCAGCAAGCAACATTCCCCAGTGGCTGGGCTGTGAGACTCCGGTGCAGGTGGGATGTGGGGATGAAGCAGGTGCCCAAGTGCTTTGCCCAGGTAGGTTTAGAAGCTTCGCTGCCCTGAGGCCCCTCCCTGCCCTGCAGCTTCCACACAGGCCCATCCTGGCACGGGCTCAGCCGAGCTCATACAAAGGACTAGATTAGATGTAAAGATGAGCCTGGTCACCCAGGGCTCGGCAAACCCCAAGGTCCTGAGGTTGACCCAGCCCAGCAGGATGGGGTACAGGACAAAGTGAATTCCCACGCAGAGGGAAAATGGAGATGAGTGTTCAGGACTCTTGGTTGCATTAGGGAGAGATGAGAAGGGCAGGGTGGGCACCCAGGGGCCCGGTGAGCGCTTTGCACAGGATGGAGATGCCACCAGCCAACACCACACCGGCCAGAGGGTGAGGGCTGGGCCGGGCAGTGCCGGGGGTTCCGCAGGGGTGGCACCTCAGGGGTGGCATCTCAGGGGCCGGGGGCAGCTGTGGCAGCCAGGCAGGCCGGGCCCTGCTGCATGCAGCGGATGAGCTCCTTGCGGTTATCCAGGATGGTGTCGAAACTCTCCTGCAACCGGTTCTGCTGGTCCACGACTTTCTGCTGGAGGCCGTGGATCCAGCGCAGCAGGGCCAGGCGCCGGTACATCACCAGCTGGATGTGGTGCTTCTCCTTCTCCTGCTCCTTGAAGCGCTCCTTGTCCTGGAGGTGCTGCACAGCCTCTGCCAGCGCCGGCAAGAGGGGCCCCGGCTCGGGCTCGGCCATGCCCGGCTCAGGGGGGCTCCCAGCTCTGGGGGCAGAGGCAGGAGGGTCCCAGGTGCTGCTGCAGGCGCTGTCGGGGCTGTCGATGCTCAGGGAGCTGCTGGCGTAGCCGTTGTCCTCTGCGGGGGAGCTCGGGGCTTTGACACATCCCCCGGTCGCCTCCTCGGCAGCGTTTTGCCCCCCGGCCCCTCCGACCTCTGCTCCCTCGGGGGGGCTACGCACCCCCTGCTCGGGGACCCGCGGGCCCAGGGCGGTGTCCGTAAGCCGGCCCTGGACCATCTGTCTCTGCATTAATAACAGCAGATTATCGGACGGATTTGTGGTGTTTTCGCTCTGGCTGGAGCCCTCCTCCGGCGCGGACCCCGGCGCTGGCCGGCTCCAGTTCTCGTTGCTGTCACACACCTCTCCCACGAAGTTGGAGTTGGAGTCCTGCCCGTGCCCGGCCCCCGGGATGGCCGTGCCCAGCGCCGGGGCCCCCCGGCCCTGCCGGAACGGGGCGTTGGCCGGGCACACAGCAAACATCTCGCCGGTGTCCTGCCTGCAAGGGAAACGTGGAGCCGTGATGGGACTGCGGGCACACGGGCTGGCACGGCCGGACCCAGGGCAGCTACAGCGGGGGAAAACACCCTCTGACTCTATTTACCTCTTCAAAGCTACTGGAGCCATGATGAGCTCAGCATTCCTGGGTGTTTGGCCACTGCTCTCAGCATCTCCCCAGGACACATCACGGAAACACAGAATGGGTTGGGTTGGAAGGGGCCTTAAAGCTCAGCTAGTTCCAATCCCCTGCCATGGGCAGGGATGCCACCCATCCAAGGGCAACTTCCCACCTGATGCAGAAGCTCAAGAAGGCACCTCCCAGCCCCTCTCTCCTCCCTGAGAGCTCCAGCCCAACCCCACACTCCCCTGGCCTCCCCTGGGTGATGCCAGAGGGTATCCCAGGGTGCAGGGACACAGCCCAAACACTGCTCAGGCTCCTCTGCACAACCTCTGCCATCAGCCCTGCCTGGGGCTGAGGGAGCTGGTCCCTACCAGTGCCCAAACCAGTCACCCCTCTGGTTTTCCTCTGCAGGACCGGGAGCAGACTCGGCCAGAAAATAAAAGGTTATCCCAGCGTCCCTTGCCGGGTCAGTGGCAGCGACAGCCGAGCTCTCTCCCTCAAGGACATGCTCACAGCAATCCCATGAAGGAGCCCATCGAGTGTCCCGGTCTGACCCCGCACGGCAGCGGGGCAGCAGGAGGGGTGCAGGTGCCCCGTGCCCAGCTCAGGGTGCTCTGGGACCCCGGGACACCCCCAACACCCCCCACCGCCCACTGCCCGGTCCAGGGCTGGGTGCCATACCCGTAAAACCGCTGCATCCCCCCAAAAGCTGTACCCCCCAAAAGTGCTGCCCCCCAAAAGCTGCATCCCCCAAAAGCTGCCTCCCCCAAAAGCTGTACCCCCCAAAAGCTGCATTCCCCAAAAGCTTTGCCCCCCAGAAGCGCTGCCCCCCCGCAGGCGCGGCCGGGCGGCTCCGCCGGGGGGGATGCGCGGACCGGCGCGGGGGCCGAACCCAGGAGCATCCCTGCCCCGCAGAGTCCTCACAGAGCCCCCCGGAGCCCCCAGCCCGGCGGGGGGGGTCCTGCTCCCCCCTGCATCCGAGCTCCCACAGAGCCCCCCGAGCCCCCAGCCCGGCCGGCGGGGATGCGACCCCCGGGACCCGCCGGTGCTCTCCCACCGCCCGCCCGGCCCCGAGCACTCACCGCCCGGTCCCAGCCCCGCTCCGGCCCCGGTCCCAGCCCCGCTCCGGCCCCGGGCTCCGTGAGCCGCCGCCGCCGCGGGTGGGAGCGGGAGCGGAAGCGGCCCCGCGTGGGGAGGCGTCACGGCAGCACTTCCGACGGCGCCGGCGGGGCTGGGGGGGACCGGGATGATGGGGGGGGAACTGGGATGATGGGGGAGACCGGGATGATGGGGGGGAACTGGGATGGTGAGTGGGGGGACCGGGATGATGGGAGTGGAACTGGGATGATGTGTGGGGGGACTGGGATGATGGAGGGGACCGGGATGATGGGGGTGGAACTGGAATGGTGGGGGGGGACCGGGATGATGGGGGAGACCGGGATGATGGTGGGGGAACCGGGATGATGGGGGAGACCGGGATGATGGGGAGGGAAGGGGATGCTCGGCAGGGGGACGGGGCTGTGCGGCAGCTCTTGGTGCCCCCGGTCCTGCCCGGTGCCCCCGGTCCCGCCCTGTGCCCCCGGTCCTGCCTGCCCCTCGGCCGCCGTGGCTGTGTGTGTATCCCTATGGGTCCATGTGCAGCCACTGCATCCCTCGGGAAGCTCCCACCCGTGTCCACCCGGCCTCTGGGGGGGAAAGGGGAAAACTCCCGCCCATGTCAGGGAGAAGGAGCTGCAGGCCCCTGTCACCCCCAGCCTGGCGCCGGGTGGGTGCTGGTGGGTGCCCCCTGACACGGGCAGGGGGGATGGTTTGGGACGTGCTGGCTCCTTCCTGCCGGCCTGTGGGTCCCGTGAGCCTCAGCAGGTCCCTGTGGGGATGGGGATGGGTGAAACATGGGTACCGAGTGCTCAGTGGGTTCTTTATTCCCTTTATGCCTGGAGCTGAGATGTCCACGCTGGGAAAGGAAAAGGCTCAGGAACATCAAACAGTTCCCACGAGCTCCAGCCCAGCTCGGGGGTCACATGAAGCACCGGGAGCATTTTGGGAGATAAAGAGGCTTTGTGGGACTGGGGGTCACAGGGGGCAGCTGGTGCCACAGATCCCCTGTCACCCACAGAGCTGCCCCGGGCAGGGATGGTCCCATCTCCTGCCATGCCCACACGATGTGGCCTCCACCATCCCGTGGGAGCTCTGGGATAGACGTGGCACGAGCACAGCCCCCTCATCCCAAGGGCTCTGCAGCACAAGCCCACACTGTGCTCAGTGCCTCCCACCCACCCTGAGGAGGAGGAAAGAGGGAATGAGGGTGATTCCAGAGTGGACAAAGGTCCTCTCAAAAGCTCTGGACTGTTGGAGGTGGGATGTGGGAGAGAAACACCGAGAGCAGATGTTCCCCCATGACATTGTGAGGATTTGGAGCACTGGAATATCTGTGAGGGTTTGGAGCTCTGGAATATCACTTATAAGTGATAAATAAATTGTTTTAAGTTCTTGTCTGCCTGACAAGCCCCTCAGCAGCCTCTCCTGCTCCCGGCTGCTCCAAAGGCTTTGACACCTCCATGGAGGAGCAGTCAGAGGGGAGGACGAGAGCTGTAACTGGGACACTCGGGCTGCAGCTCCAGGGGAAGCCTGGGATTAAAGAAACAAACCCTTCCCGTTGCACAGGAAAGGCAGGAGCTGACTCAGGCGTCTGGGAATGGGCAGGACAGAAACAGGAGTTTGGGCACACAATGGACTCAGCTCAGCCTTTGCCTTGAGCTGAGCTTTTGCTTTGTGCTGCTCTGGGCTTTGCTCCTATCGTGGCCTGAACTCTAGCAGTGAAATATTCATTACTGAGGGAAATTTAATCCATTTGTGGACCTTCTCCCCCTGTTTACTAAGAGACACATCTCAAACAGGCCTTTTCCATCCCAGTTTAGGCTTCAACAGTAAAAGAAATCTGCAAGTCCAGCTGGAGTTTGGCTGCAGGGCAGGACAGGGTTTGCTCCTCTCTCAGCTTTCCTTGTCCCCACCCCAGGAATCCCCACAGGCTGGCCGTGCTGGAGCCTGCTGCAAACCTGCTGCAAACCTGCTGCAAACCTACTGCCCTGCCTCTGGCTTCACTGGTTTGGGGGTTCCTCCCACAAGTTCTGGCAGTGGTGGGAGCCAGAGTGGTGCTGGAATCACGGAGGGATCCAGGAGCAGCTTTTGCAGGGGTCTGTCTCGCTGGGGATGGTTTTGCAGTGGTGCAGCTCAGGTTCAGCCCGGCTCCCCCAGCCCTGGGATTCTCTGTGTCTGGACACCAGCAGGATTTGGTGCTTCCTGTGACTACAGCTCTGTTCCCCTATGACCCAATGTCCCCTCAGCCCCAGCTGACCCTCACCCCAAGCACCCATCTATGGGGAACCCCAGAGCAGGGAACCCCAGCTCGGGGTGCAGGACAGAGGGAATGTGGGGACTTGAGGAGGGCTGGGCTGCTCCCTTTGGGGACTGGGGGAGAGGGAAGGTTTGGAGGTGGAGGGGGCTTAGTGATGGATTTCAGACATCTTCCCCTCCCCTTCAACCACTTTGTTCCAGAAATAAATTAAAAGCTCTCCCTCCAGGAAATTAAAAATAATTTAAGAAGGCTGAGCGCAGGACCTGATGTGCTGGGGGTTTGGACGGGAGATCCTGGGCTTGGAGGGGAGAGGGGTGCTGGGGTGACCTGCCAGAGCCTCTCCAGACAGAACTGGCACCGGATTTTTCCACCAAGGCAGGTCCTTGTGGCCTGGATGCAGCACCCTTCGCTGGGCTCAGGGCCTGTCCCAGCTGCAGGAGCCCCCCTGCACTTGGGAGACTTCCATGGCCACTGGGACCTCACACCAGCAGAGACCTGGTGATGCCTTGGGACACACCCCAACACGGTGCTTCAGTCCCAGTTCCCTGCTCCCTGTGCTCACCCTGCTCAGGGAAGCTGCCTCCTGCTCCTCATGTGCCATGTGTCCCACGAGCCCTGCCCCGTGCCACAGGCTTGGGACAAAATTGGTCCCAGAAGCAGCCCTGGCACTCGGCCCCGTGGCCAGTGCCCGACCCCTCTGCCAGGAAGGAGGCACCAGAGTTCAAAACCACACACCTGCATCAGTCCACCCAGGACACAGGTCGCCCAGCAGCCACCATCCCACCAGCAGGCTCATCCCGGGACCCCGGTGCTGAGAAGGGGAGCTTGTCCCGAAAGAGTTAAGGGTGAAGCGTTGCAAACAAAAAAAAAGAAAAAAAAAATTACGAAAGAAAAAAATGCCCTGAACCACATGCGACCTAACCTCCCCAGCGGCTCATCTGAGTTTAATAATGGAGGAGGGAAATCTCCCAAAAAGCTCTCTGAGAAATTAAAGTAAACAGCGTGCTGACCTCCAGCCCGCGCTGCCCCGCCGCTGACTCGCCGGCCACGGCACTCTGCCTTCCCTGGCATTCCCTGTAATTGTAAACACATTCGGGTAAATACGAGGGAGGGGTCCTGGGGGGGTCCTGGGGGAGCAGCTCTCCCCACAACCGGCAGGAATCCGGGCTGAGCATCAGCTCAGAGCCGTGGGAGGCACTGTGGGCTGAGGGTCTGGGCTCCGTGGCCACAGACACCCCTGGCTGTGAGGGGCTTCACGTGGTCAAGGCTTCAGGTCTGACACTGCCAGTGGGAACAGGAGCCACTGGCACCTTCACACTGTCCTGGGACTGCAGGGTTGGGGCTGGAAAACCTCATGTCGGGAGCGCTGATGGGTCCTGCCAATGGAGGGAGGAGGAGGAGGATGCTATAAAGGGTTTGTCCTCTTGGCCTCACAAAATTTAAAAACAATGCTCTTATTTTCATAGATCCTGGGCATTTTTGTAGGCTGAGGGAAAGAAAAGCAACCCCAGGCTGTACAAGTGCTGGCATTCCTCTCTGGAGAGGAGCTGGAAAAGCTGCCAGCCAGGATGGGGGAAAGCACTGCTGCCAACCCAGCCCCATCCCCAGCCGTGCTCCATCCTCATCCCTGTCCCCATCCCTGTCCCCATCTCCATCCCATCCCTGTCCTACCCTCTCACACAGCATCCCATTTTCTGCATTTCCCACAGGATTTTCTGAGGAAAACGCCACTGGAAGGCCAGGGAAGGGGCAGAGGGGGCCGGATCCAGGCAATCCCTCTCCCCTGCCCTCAGCCCCAGCCCCTGGCCAGTCCTGCTGCCTGATCTACCTGTAACCCAAACTCAATTTCAATGAGAATCAAGAGCAGCAGTAGGAGCACCGTGTTTGGTGAAAAATGCCAGGAATCTGCAGCCAGATTGGCCTTCAGAGGATCCCAGAATCCCGCGGAGGCCAGACCACTTGCACAGGACTGGAGGTCAGAGCCTGCTCCCTGCAACAGCTCCCAGCCCTGGGATCAGCCTTTGAGGTGGCACCAGGGAGAGGAGGAAGAAGAGGAGGAGGAAGAGGCTGCAGGGCTGGGGAGCCCAGAGGAGGTGTGACCCTCCCTCCAGAGGGATGAGCCGTTGGTGATGGGGACTCGGGTCACCTGGAGGGGGGAGACACCCCTCACCAAACCACTCCTGTTGGGGGGGAAGCCTCCTTCCTCTTTGCTTTCCTAAAATCTCCAAAAAACCAGTTTCTCTTCGTTTGGGGTTTCTCTTGGCCAAGGGATCGGGGCTGACGTTCCACAGACGTTCCCTCTGCGGTTCCTCCGCTGCCGAGCCACAAAAAGGGAATATTGCTGCCGACTCCACCCCTTTCATCAGACCAAGACCCAAAATCACCATTTCCTCTCGGCCTGTGAATCACTAATAAACTCCAGACAGAAAGGTCTGATTAGGAAATTGTTTGGGAAATGGAGAGGAAGGGGGAGGGCTGGGCTCTCACTGCAGCCGGTGCCTCTGGGTGACTTTGCCCCTCAGTGTCACCTCCCAGTGCCACGGGCAGGTCCCTGCCTTGGGATCCCCAAACCTGCTCCGGCCACAGGCCCATCCCTGGCTGCAGGCAGAGCTCTGCAGTGGATGGATCCATCTGGATGGATCCCAGTCTGCAAGGGCTGGGAGATGAAAATCTCTGCTTACACTGAAGTGTATATTTTTTGTTTGGCTGCTGTGCCGGGGCTGTGGCGTGCAGGGAAACATTCCCATCATTTGGTACCTGTAGCT